CTTCTTCTTCTTCTTCTTCTTCTTCTTCTTCTTCTTCTTCTTCTTCTTCTTCTTCTTCTTCTTCTTCTTCTTCTTCTTCTTCTTCTTCTTCTTCTTCTTCTTCTTCTTCTTCTTCTTCTTCTTCTTCTTCTTCTTCTTCTTCTTCCCCTTCATAGCATTCACCTGCTGTAAACTACAGTGGTTGGTTGTTTGTCAACCTCTGGACTTTATGTCTTTTTCTTGAACTGAGTTTAGTGTGCATATCCATTCTATAGATCTGCCTTATTTGTATACAGACAGTTGGTTCCTCAACAGGCAAATACACTCTGACGAAGGAAACACACCTAGTCAATTGCTTTTTACAACATGTTAGGGATCAGGGATCTACTCTCCCCTTTAATTGGGTCACGTTGTGTGGTTTTTCAAGGCAAATATAGGTCCAGTAGTTTGCCATTGCCTCTGGACGGTCGGCTTTCTTGATACCACTGTCGAAACCAACGCAAGTCGCATGGCCCGCAGCTGGGATGTACCCCGGCATTACAAAGCGTTCGCATCGACTTAGCCACAGAGCCGACTTTGTAATACTATTATTTACATATCCTTTGCCAGGGCTTTGATAACAATGTTTCATGGCCTCTGCACAGAAGAACCCTTGTCTTGTCTTCACTTTTCCTGTTTTTGCTGTTTAGCGGGGAACTACTTATTGTCCTTACCACATTTCCTTTTCCTCATCTCCCTTCTTCCATGTTTTCCCTTTTTCCTTCTTGCCGCTAGCACAGCAAAGTAAAGGACCCAGCAAAGTAAAGGACCCTTTTCCTCCCCTTCAAGCGTTTTGGGTTTATAGGGCTAGACCTATATTTATAGACCAAGCAGCACTTGGTGGGTAACGTGAACAACACCACTCCGGTCGCCTTTACTTCCTATGATTTTACTTGGTACACATTTAAGGTTGGGTCGGCCTGAGGTTCCGAACTCATTTTTAAAACGTCCGTCTACGTTTGGATTGAAACCCATGGCCTTCGGATCCACAGCGAGCGCCTAGCCGCTACATCACGGTGGCTTTTTAAAATAAAACCCAGTGACAACTCTTTCGCCTTTAAAGCTACTTTATCAACTCGACAGCATCCAAGGGAGGGGGGAGACTGCCCCTTAACAAGCATGTGCTAAAAGGCGGTTAATTAACAGTTTGTTGAAATCAGATGTGTTAGGCTGAAAGACGCTGATGTCGCAGCCTGCCTGTAAACTACAACGTGCGGATATTCCTGTCAGGGCAAACGGCTAAGAAAAAGAAAGGAAATAAAAGTGTTAGTTCGATACTTCAGTTCTGGGATCATTATTGCACTGAAGTCATTCAACATTTGTCTGGCGACCTAGACCAGGTTCCTGATCGATATTTCAACTGTTGGATTATTGCACAGAGTTTGTTCAATTTTATGTCTTTCTTTCGTTTAGGCTCCGGTTTCTTGTGTGTGTTTGTAAAGGGTGGGGGGACTTACTGCTACTTATAGAGCATGTTGTGAAATGAGACTAATGACGGTTTGCTGAAATCGTATGTGTTAAGTGGAAAGATGTTGATATTAGTTAGTTAGTTAGGTTATCCTCATTGCACTCCGGACATGTCCACAGGGGCTCAGATCCTCCCCTCAGTATGAACCCCAACGTCCGATGGCTAATAGTACCAGTTCTATGTTGATTAACAAGTCTTCTAGCGTGTCTGGTGTGCGTCTCGTTTTTTGCTGTGCCGATCTTAATTCCCAAGTCTGCAATTCTGGCGAGTGATGTGGATTCACTGCCACCAAAGTCCTCTATCCTTCCCATTTCTCGGAGGGCATTGATAATATCAGCATGATCCATAGGCTGACCGTCGGTAGTGATAGCGGATCCAGCCAACCTGTCAGCTCTTTCATTTCCATCGACGCCTGCGTGTCCCGGAACAAAAATAAAGGTGACTCCACGCACAGTGGACTTCTGTAATGATTCAAGCCATTGTCTGCGCACTGAACCTGCTTGAACCCTCCGGATCATACTCATTGAATCACTGAGTATACACACGCGGGTGTATTTTTGTGTTTCAAGCCAGGCAAGCGCTTGCGTCACTGCCATCACCTCCATCGTCATGCTGCTGGTTGTCATGGAAAAGGCGCCGTTGGCTTCTTTGACTGTTCTGCCCGCTGAGCGTGCTGTAAATGCCCATGCGCTTCTTCTTTGGCGTATAACGGATCCGTCTGTATAGATTATTGCATCTGCTTCATCTGAATTTTCACCGATGAGAGCGTTGACCTCTGCATTAACAGCGACAGGATTCTCTTCTCTACATCGCCTGTTGAGTGTGACAATACAGGAAAATGTACAAATGAACGCCTGAGGCACATGTATCCATTCTGCACCAGGTATGATGTCGGTTAGGCTGCATATTTGCCTAATAACATCTTCTGCCCGACCTAGCCACGATTTCCCCCTCTTCAGTCTGTCGCCCTTTTCACTAAAAAGCGCTTGATGCAGTGGGTGTTTCTTATCAGCACATATTTTGAGATATGCCCGAGCCCTCCACATCCTGATCCTTTGGTTCATTGTTGGAAAGTCAAGTAGATACCTCATTGCTCCACATGATGTGTTTCTTGTACATCCCAAAATAATGCGCATGGCTTCATTTTGCACCTTTTCGAGTCGTTCAATCTGGGTAGCACTGACAGTGTGGATGGCCAGAGCGTATTCAATGGGGGAAAGGACCAGACCGTAGAATAGAAGTATTAGTAGTCTTTGCTCAATATTGGAAGCAGCCATAATCCTCATTGCAGATAGACCTTTGCGTGCTTTAGTTATCACATGGTCAACGTGTTCCCTGAATGACAAGCTGCGATCGAACCTCACCCCGAGAAACGTCATAACGTTGGTTCTGATCAATACATTATATGTTGATATTGCATGCAGGCTATCTCTAAAACATAAGGCGTGAACCTCCCTTTTTAAAGGCGAACTTCGTTACTTTGTAACAGTCGGGTGGCCCAATATAAACCTTACGGTTGAACAGGGTTTCTGGGATTTGTACCAGGGGGATTCTCATCAGAATAGTGACTCTCTAGGTCACTGGTTGTTAATCGCTCAGAATGCCGTCCTACTGGGGTTGAGCTTCGACCACAAGAAGAAGAAAGGTGTTTTGGATCGATAATTCAACTCTTGTATTATTGCACTGAAGTAATTCAACATTTGCTATGGCGACGTAGCATAAATCGACAGTCTCTGCTCGATCCTCCGCTCTTGCAGCTTACTGAAAGGAATTTTTACCTAGCACGTATAGTGGTGCGTCCGCAGTTGCATTATCTTTGCCGTTATTCTTCTAAATCGGTGTTTCCCCATACTTTTTTTTTAACGGCCAATAAAAAATTTAGAATTTGGCCCTCTGTCAGCGGAAGTATCATAATTATTGTCATGGGTCTTGCCGATAACTACGTTCGATACTGATACACAACCCACACGGTCAGCAGTAGCAAGGATCAGATCAGAGCTCTTGTCCCGCCCCATGCTAAATGGCCAGGCCGTCAAGGTATTTTTCTTTCCCGCCCCCTTTAAAAAAATCGTATTTGCTGTTTATCAGACAGTGACACATTTACTGACACGATTTAGTAATGTAAGCCAAAAATAGAGTAGCTGCTTTTACAGTGCCATAACAGAGAAACTCTCATTTTACAACCGACTGCCTGTCTTTTTTCAAGAATACATATTGCGAGTAACTTCTGCTTGCAGAATTTCCTGCTCAGCTCGTCCTTTCACACGAAAAGTAAGAGAAATGTCATTTAAAAACAATAACCAAAAAATGACATTTGATGTCACGATACATGACCAAATTGTCAGTGTATCCATATCTCGAGTGTCTCATTTCGACATTATAATTGCCTGTTCATTGTTCAGATCTTTTAGGATTATTTGTAGAAGATTTCTGTATGTGGCGGGGAGTGTCCGGCCAGTGGATCGTATAAGGAAGTAAATCCGTACAAGGCCGCGAAATCATTTGATCCGGCCCAGAAATGGTAACCGCAGTTAAATGTTTGACTCACTATAAAACGATAATTTTTCATGATTACGGTGTCCTTAATGACATCATTAGTGAAAAGAAGTAGGATAAGGATTAGGTGAGCAGGATAGTTGACAATGTTTGTATGGCCAGTGAATAATGTTATACATATTCAAGTCACCCTTAGTAGATCCCCCAACCCCCCCCCCCCCCCCCCCCCCCCAAAAAAAAAAAAAACGTGCTTTATTAATACCCTAACCCAAATAGGGAAAATCCACAGGTCACGGGACAGTCTAATATTTTAGAGGGTGGTAGATAGGCTGCATGCAGTCGTGGGACCTAGGCTGCACTCTCTCGTGGGACGTAGGTGGGTTGGGGTTAGGGCCAGTTGTAGATGTTTTGGGTTCGTTAAAAGCATCAGAAAGCCGGAAAACCCAGTCTTACCATCCTCTAAAATGATGAACTGTCATGTGACGTCATCTAGGGTAGGATCGCGCCCTTCTCTAATTATTCTAATAAATCTGGAGCTGGCCGTGGGTAGGATATTAATAAAGAACAGAAAAAAAAAAAAAAGCGGTTTTATGTCTTTAATTTATAGTTAAGGAATGCTGTGTATTGAGAATTATTAAATGTGTATGTATTTTTTATGTTTACAAATACCATTCATATATTTCGAGATCCACCCCTGTATCAAAAGATGTAAATGCCATTTTGTGCAAGTGATCTTTTTATTCATTCACGGTATTGTAAAATGAACTTTTACATTTGGATTCAGCCGCAGTGAATTGAGATGAGTTTCAAACTCTTTATTTATCAAGGGTGCAACTGAAGCAAGTACCAGATCGACAAGAAATCAATATTTGGCCATTTCATCTGCGACCAACGTGTGGGTGGCACTAGCTGCGGTGACTTTCTCTGCCGCGTTCTGATAAATCGCGGTCGGCTAACTTTACCTCCATAAATCGGAGATTGTCTCATAACTAGAGTCTGTCGTTATCTGGAGGTAACCATGGAAGGTAAACACTTTGTATTACTATGTGTTGTTGTATTTGATATTGTTTACCTAAGCCCTGGATCGATAACCCGTTTAGCAAATGCCTGAAAAAGTCGGTTGTGTTGGCCGAAAGGTAGGCATATCACAGCCCTGCTGTAAACCGAAACAATTTGTTTGGCTTCTATCTTGGTAATTCACAACCTCATAGAAAGTTCGCGTAACAAAGTAAAGTAAAAGACCCCTTTCCACCCCTTCAGGCGTATTGGCCTATAGGGTTAGAACTATATTTTATAGACCAAACGGCACTTGGTGGGGGATGTGGTCAGCATTACACCGGCCGCTTTTACTTCCCAGGACCTCCACCTGTTACCCATTCAGGACTGGATCGACCTGGGAGCCAAAGTTATTTTTTTTTAATGTCCGGTATTTCAGGACTCGGACCCATGTCCTCCTTATCCGCAGGTCTAGCCGTTACACCACGGCGGCTCCCAAAAAGTGTAGTTAGGTAAACAAAACTAAGAAATAAGTATAAGTAAAGTAAAAGAGTTTTTCTTTCAGACAGTGAGGCGTATTTGGCGTGTATTGCTAATCTCACATTTTAGAGCAATCGGTAAACGATGGATAAGGGTGATATTATCACTCTTGTCGCCTGTACTTCCGAGAACATTTTATGGTACCATTGTTAGGCCAGGACCGGCTCCAGCTGCCAGGTCGTGCTGCTGACGTCACCGGGTCGGCCTAACGATGCGTTATAGCAGCGGTTCTCAGACAAGAAATAAACTATTTTCGACAGAGGTGAGGGAAGACAACTTAAATTTTATTTTTTAAGTATCTACTTGTCTTCTTTAATAATTTCGCAGTTTTTAGCCGACTTTTCTTGATTATTGTCGCGGCATCCCTGGCGTACGCTTGCAGCCCCCATGGTACCTTGGCACCCAGTTTAAGAACAGCTGCTTTAACGCAACGTTAGCCTGACCCGGTGACGTCAGGTGCACGGCCCACCGGTCGTGGTAAGGCTTGACCAGTGTGAAAATTCGGGTGACTGGACAGAGAGGAAAAATCTCTGCTTGGAAAACGATTCCATCACATAGCCAACAGACAAACAGGCAACCGTGCTTGCCATTGCACTAACGCGAATCCATATTGTCTACTATACGGACTGTAAAGAAAGGCTTTAACGATGTGACCATGTCAGGTGGAAATATATACGGAAAGAGATGTACAGGGGAAGACGACTAAAGAAGATTCTTGGCAATCTTTTGTCGTGGCATGGAATTGTGTCAACACCCAGATTGATACAAGCTGCTAAAAACTGCACCACTGAGGGAGACCAGTGATCATCAACACCAGTCGACAAGGAACTTGATGATGACAGTGCTTCTTTCTTCTTTTGCCTGTGTAACTCCCAATGGAGCATAGGCCCTTAACTAACTTAACAACAAGTCGTGACTACGGTGCTGCCTATAGTTGTTTTCTATGATGTTTCGTTATAAGAGGTAGGTGCTCGAGGGTAGGTGGGGGTGACAAAATGGCAAAAATATGTTTTTTTTTTTATGTTCAACAAAATCTGTGTGCATTAAAAAAATTTATAAAAACGTTTTATACATATCTGTGTGTATGTTGGGTGGGGGGGGGGGGGTGTCGGAGACGGTGATAGGAAATTGTCCACACCGGGTAGCTCCTGACCTTTACGCCACTGGGTAGGTGTTTTGTGTTATTGCCTGATTGTGTTAGAATTTTATGATTTGGATAGCTTTTGAATCTGTGCACAGGTTTATCATTCAGCAGTGTGTGTGTCGGCATTTTGTTGGTAATTATCTTTCCTTATCTCGACTATTAAAACACCCATGTTAAATCGATTGGTAATGATTGCGCAGGTGCAGTACAGGATGTGCCAGATTTATTGATAGTGTTGTTGTTGTTGTTGTTCTTCTTCTTCTTCTTCTCCCCCTCCTCCTGCTTACCTAATTCTTGTTTCTCCTTATCCTAGTTCTTTTCTTTTAAAGCAGTGGATTACAGCAGAGATCAAGATTTTCTCAGCGGTCTGAATTGCAACCATACAAGTCACACACGGTGAACGTCTAACCGCCCTCATGGAATGTGACATTATTAAGGCAGTAAATTGTCGATAGATACCTTAGTTACAATAGGCTGGGTGCTAAGAGGCATTGACTTTTGGGATTCAAACTGAGTTATCATGAGCCCAACACGGTTCTTGTATGCGCTAGGTGACAGCAGTACACAAACTGTGGACAATTACACAATTTTCAGAAGATAGCCTCTTCGACCAACTCCTCCGTACACGTTGCCATAGTTTATTGTTCTGGGTCTCATGCAGCACGGGGGGTCTGGAGCCTTGTGGTGTCCGGTTCAGTCAGTGGATAGGAACAATTGCGGAAGTTCTGGTGGACAAATCTCCTTTATGTCAACAGTTTCGTACGTGCTGAGAAAATGTGTATAGGTCATACCTGATGTCTGGCCAGTAACATGCAGTTCTTCCTTGTGTGCTCTTTGATAATCATCCCGTTCTACTTTGATGGTATTATCGGTGTGGCTGTCTGTGTGTGTTTCCTGCTTACCAGCTGGATTACGATTGGTGTTCTTTCGACCCAGAATAAGTGGCCAGCCACCTTAGTCAGCGAAAATACTGCAAATGATAAATTGAACATATTTCTATGGCTCCAAGACTATTACATCAAGCCGTGGGGCCGCATCGGAACTTACACTGTGGGCGTCTCGGCTGGCTACTGTCTGTAAGTCACTGGATGCAGGGTCAAAATGAGATGGGATGTAGCTGTGTCTCGGCTTGATGGTCCCAACAGTCATCGCTCTGGCAGCTGTTTACTGCCTCTGTGTTGACATCAGTGGGGGATATGTCAACAGTGTTGGGACGCCTACATTTTACAACGCTGTGGAATCTGTGGAACCTGGTTCGTCGTTGCCTGTGTCTCGGGTAGGGGAGACTTCATCAACAGCATCTTGTCCTGGTCACCGTTTTTTGTACCTTCTGTACATACACTACGAGATCGGAGGTGGCTCTACTACAAGGATGACAGCATTGCTGTCCCATTCTGTGAAATCGTAGTCCTAACTAACACGACTGCCTTCATCCTGATGCTGGCTTTTGAATATCACTGGATCAGCCTGGAGAAGATCTTCCTCAATAAGAAACTGAAGACACAGAACAGTTAGACAGGAAAATGCAATATTGCTTTAACTCTTTGTGCCTTCTTCTGCTCTCTTTTGTCAATGTTAGAACATACACCCTCAGTCTACTCATGCGGGGTTGTTCAGGTAACTGTCGTCACCTGCAGATCCGTCCATTCTGCCCCAATATTATTATTAATCTCTTTAATTATTTCCTTCTTCACTTCACTGATAACTCACTTCACTTCGGGGCGCTATAACCCTTTTCCCCGGGTAGATGGAATCCGTAAGCTTTGGACAGCAGTCCATCTAGGAGACAAACTCCGAATGTAAACCCCCCAAGTTCAAGGTGGGCCAACGTGCTGAAGAACTGGATGGCCACGGGTAAGCTGGTCGTGAACGTTGGACGTCTGGCGGGCGTACGGGGCAGCACTAGGCGTATGGACTCCTACGGGACATCCATTGCCCTTTTCCTAGCAGGCAGGCAATACTAGAGCGATCGGTCATTTCCTCCAGTACTCTATTTTTTCGCATATGGATTTTAAAAATATACATAGGTATCGTCACCGGAGCTACAGGGCACGTGCTCTGCGCTTAACACATTATTCAGCAGTTCATGAAGAGGGAGTGAGGAGGAGACGACGAGGGAATAAGGAGAGAAGAAGGCATATAAATAGGAGGGCAGGTGCTAGGAGAACAAGACGAAAAGCGGAGAGATTGAGATTTAATCCTGTAAGAGTAGGATACTGGAACTGTCAGAATGCTAGGCAGAGAAGTCCTGTACTGGAGAGGTTGATTTTTTATTTTGATGTCATCATGCTCCAGGAGCTAGATACAGACAGATATCATTGCCTGGGGTACGTCAGTTATATAAACCCTGTTGAACAGGCGAGACATGGACAAGGTCTGGTGGTGAAGGAGGGAGTGAAACACGTGGTGCTTGACTTGAGCCAGTGGAACCACAGTTGAAGAGAGGTTCAAGGGATACAGGTGGAGATTGGTGACTTAAGTTGGAACCTCATAGAATGGCAATGAGGTCTGGAGATGCAGACACAGCCATTGACTTGACATTTGTCTCTCAGTCGTCGGTTTTAGATGTTAAATGTACTGTCCTGAATGATCATGGGAGTGATCACCTACCATGTTCAGTCTTGATTTTTAAACTCAGTAAGGTTAAGGTTGGGAGAGCACGCAAGACCTTCCGGTATAAGTGGGCCAACAACCTACTTGGACGCCTCAGACAGGGAGCATGAAACAGAACTGCCAGAACTAATTTTCTACAGCCCCCATGGTGGACTCCAGAAGTAGAACAGGCAAAGAGAGCCGCAGTGAAGCAGCTAAAGAAAGTACGACAGACACCCTCAAGCTCACGAGAGGAAGTGGAGATTGCGCAGAATGTTAAAAAAAGATAAGGTGGAGGTTTTCAAGCGCTGTGCTGCAGAGGCCAAAAGAGCAAAGTGGGAAACTTTTGTGAATGATATGGGAGGGGATAAAACATTGAGGAAATTCTGGAAACTGCAAAGGCAGATGCAAAGAAAATATCGGCCTCCGCACTCGATGAGTGATGCAGTCAACATTACTTGGACCGCCTTTACTTCATATGCCATTTCCAACCCTTATTAGTTTGGGTCGACCTAGGAGCCACTCGATAAGTGACGCAATCAACATTACTTGGACCGCCTTTACTTTATATGCCGTTTCCAACCCTTATTAGTTTGGGTCGACTGAGGAGCCAGTATAACTAAATGACCCTTCTCGTGCTGTTGGGAATACGGTTCAAGACTAATATTATTGTAGAATAATCAAAAGTCTTTTAGATTCCATGGTGATTTCGGTCCCAGGCGCGAAGGAAAGTTAAGGCCGTTGTGATGTGTA